GCACATTAGTACAGCCGCTGACGCAGCTGACTGACATCTTGTCCTTTTGTTGCGTTGTGTAAAATAATATAATTTACAACACATTAAAGACTTTATAAATTAAATAAAATGTATACAAACCTTTATTTCCCAGAAAGAGTGCACCAAATCTGCAGCAGCGCTGAGAGCTGCTCTCTCCTGTGGACTTAAAAAACCCGTGCTCTCAGCAGCTCCGTTGTTGATTAGTTTCACCGGAGACGGGGTCAACCCAGCGGTTAGGCAGAAAAAAATAACCCAGCTTTAAAATGACCCAGCACCTGGATAAAAATATTAAAAATAACCCAATAAAATGACCCAACAAGCTGAACCCAGCATTTGGGTTAAAAAATAACCCAGCACCTGGGTAAAAATATTAAAAACAACCAAATAAAATGACCCAACAGGCTGAACCCAGCAATTTGGGTAAAAAAAAAAATAACCAAGCATTTTTTAGAGTGTAGTAACCAGTATAGTTGTTTTCAACATTTGTTGTTTTAACAAATCAAAGGTGGTTTGAGAAACATTCATACTGATTGCAAACATCAGGAGGTCAGAATAAATATTATCTGAACGGATTCATTTTTATATTTATATTGGGTTCACAGTTTTTGCAACCATATTTAAAAAAAAAATGTAAATGTCACAAGTGTAAAATGTAGTTAATCAAGCATTTAGTAATAATTCTCACTACCAAACCTGTACCTGTAATGTTTTAAAAAATAATAATTGGATAATAAATGTACTGAATTCAAATGAATGCATCAAAATGTTTATACTTTTCTGCTGTTTTCTCAGGTTTCACGTGTCCTTTTCCTTTCACATTTTCAAGATTTACTGAAAACTTTTTTTAATGAATTTTTTACTTTAATTTTAGACCTTATAAAAGAAAACAAGGAGATTCAAGAACTGATTGAAGAGGGGGAGAGCCATCATGTAAAAACTGAAGAAATATCCTGGAGTTCCTCATTGAAAAGAAGAGATGAAACATGACCTCAGTGTGAAAAGAGTCTCTCATGCAAGCAAAATCTTGATATTAACATAAAATGTCATCTTGAAGGGAAGCTATACCCATGTGCTCAGTGTGAAAAGACTTTCACAATTAAAGGAAACCTTACGAAACACATGAATATCCACACTGGGGAGTCACATGTGGTCAATGTGGGAAGAGCTTCAGATTAAAAGCTACCCTTAACAAACACAGGAAAATCCATGTTACTCATTCAAGAGAAAGACTAGATAACTGTGACCAAAGCAGTAGAACATTTGCTAGGGTACATTTACTGAAGGACCACCTGAAAGTTCATACAAAGGAGAAGCCTTATGCGTGTTATTTATGTGGAAAGAGTTTTAGTCAGATGTTTGCATTAAAGATACACCAGAAAAGACATAGCAGCGATTAACCGGTTTCGCGATTAACCGCGCTTTAAAACGTCACGGTTAATTAATCGTAAAGGTTCTGCTAAACCGAGTGTTTCTGTTACACGGAACGGAACTGTTGCAGCTTGCGCAAAACGAAAACAAAGTTACACTAGCGGTGCACCAGCTTAAAACGACGTGCTTATCAGAGGCACGGAGGCTACTGCATTAGATTAACTATGACAGAGGGACCAAACAGCAAAGCTTTACTTCCACCAGAGAAATGCCTGTCGATAGTGTGGGACCATTTTGGGTACACCAAGAATGACCAGGGTGTCAATTCAATGTTGCTGTAAAAAACTGCTGCTAAAGAGCGAATACATAAGGGATAATGCACGGCTTGCTGTACATTTGAACGATTTTAATGCACGACGTGAAGGCAAGAACCACCGGATGCGAAACTACAGCTCGTTAGCTCAGGATTCGACCCGCTTCAGATCAGAAAGAGATGAAATAGTGCGGTAAGATCACATTTATTTGAATTAATTAATTATAACATTTAGCTACTTGAATAAATTATTCGAGAGAGAGGTGACAGTTGGCTGTGTGAATTAGCCTACATGCATCTGTGCACCTCTCCAGTAGGCTATTTAATCTATTTTATTAATAAAAGTCACGGGGCAGCATTCTCAAGAAGTTTGTGTCCTCCTGAACGTTTGTACACATGCGTAGCACGATCTCCGATCTCACAAACCAAAATAATAGACATGATTTTCTTAGGCCACATGTAAAATCATATGAATTATTACAAACCCAATTCCAAAAAAGTTGGGACACTGTACAAATTGTGAGTAAAAAAGGAATGGAATAATTTACAAATCTCATAAAATTCACAATAGAATATAGATAACATATCAAATGTTGAAAGTGAGACATTTTGAAATGTCATGCCAAATATTGGCTCATTTTGGATTTCATGAGAGCTACACATTCCAAAAAAGTTGGGACAGGTAGCAATAAGAGGCCGGAAAAGTTAAATGTACATATAAGGAACAGCTGGAAGACCAATTTGCAACTTATTAGGTCAACTGGCAACATGATTGGGTATAAAAAGAGCCTCTCAGAGTAGCAGTGTCTCTCAGAAGTCAAGATGGGCAGAGGATCAAAAATAGTGGAGCAATATCAGAAAGGAGCTTCTCAGAGAACAATTGCAAAGAGTTTGAAGTTATCATCATCTACAGTGCATAATACCATCCAAAGATTCAGAGAATCTGGAACAATCTCTGTGCGTAAGGGTCAAGGCCAGAAAACCATACTGGATCAAACTGAAAACATTAAATACTTTTGTGATCTATTTCCATTTGTTATTTTCAAAAGAGAAATACTGTTATGGATGTTTACAGAGCAGAGGTCAGCTTTTTTAAATTCCAATGGGAGAGATGGACTTTTGTTTATTATTATTTTGTGCTGTATTGTTGGTTACTGTGTTATTTCTGTTTCAAAAGCCAGCAATAAATAACACTTTAATATCTAAAGAGTGTTCATGTGATTTTATACATTAGTAATGTTGGGATATGAATAAATAATAATAATTATAATAATCGTCATAATCGTAAAACCGTGATTATTCCTCCGACAATAATCGTACCAACAATATCTATAATCATTGCATCCCTAAGCAGTGTGAAGGATCATGCTTGCTCTGAGTGTGGGAAGACTTTTTTTTTTTTTACAGATGCTGAACTGAAAATGCCCAAGACAGTTCACACTACAGAAACACCTTACAAGTGCTCACACTGTGACAAGAGATTCAAACGGTCAACACATCTACAAATACATGAGAGGATCCACACTGGAGAGAAGCCGTATCACTGTCATTCATGCGGGAAATGATTCACTCAATTATCTTCTCTAATCTCTCATAAATTATATGTCTGCCTGAAATAATAAGTAGTTCAAGTACTGATCCTGTACTTCCAGGTGTGATAGATGTAGGGCTGCATCAAGTAATTATTTTGATAATCGATTAATCAGATATTATTAGAATGATTGATCTATTGATTGTTGATTATTTCACAGATTAATCAGTAAATTTGATTATTCGGCTTTTGAAGTTTGTTCAAATGTTAAGTAATACCCATTCAAACTAATAAATAAAACAAGGAACTCCTCAGTTTTTGAAAATGTCTTTTTAATAAACTTTGAGTAAACTGAATTATAGTCCTCTTCAGGTTTTCTGTCCTCCTCAGAAGTCATCAGTAGATGGTTTCATCGAATGCATGCACCTGGCCCGAAGTTCACTTCTGGTCTGTGCTTGTTTAACAGTCTGGCTAGTGGCATCAACTACAAACGCAGTTAAAGTGATGAGTAGAATGAAGCTGGGTTCAGGTTGTTATGCTGTGGGATGCAACCCAGTGTTTCACATACAGTGATTTATTTGTGGCGGCCCCACAATATCAAAACTGACCGCCACAAATAGATTTTCCAAAAGGCTTTGACTTTGTTGAATAAACATGAGCACTGCATGTTTCAAAATCGAAATGTGGTGCGGATGTTTCTATATCACTGTACCTCTGAAGGAAACCGTCTGCCTCCAGAAAATGTTCAATGTCATTTTCAATTAATCTTGCCTGTAATGCCTGATAAAGCAGCGTTTATGGGCGCTGCACTGCTATATACAGCTGTTGAATTTGCATTTTCAAACAGCCCATCTGATTTACGCAGCAAACATGTTGTAAATGTGAACCGGCATCAAAGTCCAAGTCTGCTTTATTGTCAATTCTGCCACATGTACAGCACATACAAAGAATTGAAATTGCGTTACTCTCAGATCCTTGTTGCACACAGATAACACTAAAGGTAGAATGTAAAAATACAAATAAATACAGATTAAAATACTTGAACTGTGCTGGCAAAATGAGTCACAATGAGCACATTTTTGGATGAAAAATGACTGAGCTACACCCGTTTGAAGTCAGCAAAGTCAGTCCTGAGAAAAATCAAGTTGCAGTTTTCTGAAGGTTCCAAAGCAAAATCACCAAGCAATCACCTAGCGATGTTGCATTGTTTCCTCCACTTCCTTTCTTAATATTAATTACTATATTAATAAATCACAAAATAGCCATTTTTTATTTTATGTTTGCTATTAATAATAAGAACAGATGCAAAAACAAATATTATAAAAACAAATATAAGAAAGAAATAGGCCTAATGCATTAGTTTTTAAAAAAAAAATTGTACATCTAAAAAGCATTCAAGTAAGAAAAACAAATAATCAAATGTAAAAATCACTTCAGTGTGTTCATTATAAATAAAGTGATTGTTAAAACTACAAAAGCAGTTAAATCAAGTGCAGTGATCTTTTCTTTTATTGTTAGATTAACATTAATGAGACAGAAGGCCACTGCACGGATCTGATATGTTACACACCAAATGTTTTCCCCAACAGTTTCCCAAACGTTGAGTAACAAAAGAGAAATATGGAAGAATTAAGAATAGGTGGGTTGCCAGGGACGGGTATAAAAGATATACTGCAAAGTGGTGTGGATAGACAAGGCTGAAGAAATATTTGTAATTTCTTCATTAGAAAGGTTCTGATGAGGAGAATATGATGAAGGAAATAAGCCGGAGTAATGATGCTTCTGATCCACACTCTGGAGCAGAAGATGGCGGTAATGCACCAATACGCTGGATGACAACCGCCGTGAAAATATAAGAAGAAGGAGTACTGATGCAGGAAAATAATCCAGAAGGTGGCGGTAATGCAACGCGTTTGGATGCAAGCCGCCGTTAAACCTGGAATAAGAAGAAGAAGAAGAAGAAAACAAGAAGCCACCGCTAGCGCCATCACACAGCTTTGAGTCTCCTGAGGTGAGGTAATTTGTATATTTTTTTACAATTATAAAAAAAAAATACAGCTCGTTAAACCAACATTTTACAGGGTAATTTCATTATGAGTTGTTTAAATCTGGTACAGCTCTATTTGTGCGTCTATTCTCAAACAAACATTTAGCCTAGCCCTAGGGTTGCCAGCCATTCCGAATAATACGGAATCGTCCCGTTTTTAAGATATAATTTGTCACGTATTCGCAGGCATACGCCGCATGTCCACCCACCAAACGAATAACAAACTCGGAATTGAAAATAATAGATTGAAGAAGAAAACAAGAAGCCACCGCTAGCGCCATCACACAGCTTTGAGTCTCCTGAGGTGAGGTAATTTGTATATTTTTTACAATTATAAAAAAAATACAGCTCGTTAAACCAACATTTTACAGGGTCATTTCATTATGAGTTGTTTAAATCTGGTACAGCTCTATTTGTGCGTCTATTCTCAAACAAACATTTAGCCTAGCCCTAGGGTTGCCAGCCATTCCGAATAATACGGAATCGTCCCGTTTTTAAGATATAATTTGTCACGTATTCGCAGGCATACGCCGCATGTCCACCCACCAAACGAATAACAAACTCGGAATTGAAAATAATAGATTTTTGGGCAAACTACTAATTTCATTTGAATGGTAACAACTCTTCAGTTTCTTATTATTCTAACTGAATTAATTGAAACGAAGTAAGAATTTGATGTGAAAGATGAAACATTTAAGGTTAGGGGAAAAGAATGACCATTTATAAACATAGTGGGAAATGTATGAAGGTAATTTAATGCCTAAAAGATTTGCATACGCAGGGGAAGAGTTGTGGAAGTGTACATAAGACTGTAAGCGTAAATTAAATTTGCAAAAAGCTGTCCAAACCTACCTGGCCCTGTGTGAAAAATCCTGTTAAAACATGAAAGAACTGTGATTAACCTCATTATTTTAGAAAGCTGAGTTAAATTTCACTAGCCACACCCAGGCTTGATTACTGGCAGACCTGTTGAATCAAGAAATCACTTAAATAGAACCTGTCTGACAAAGTGAAGCATGCTTAAAGAGCAACACATCATGCCGCGATCTAAAGAAATTCAAGAACAGATGAGAAACCAAATAGTTGACGTATCAGTCTGGAAAGGCTTATAAAGCCATTTCTAAGGCTTCGGGACTCCAGCGAACCATGGTCAGAGCCATTATCCACAAATGTAGAAAACTTGGAACAGTGGTGAACCTTCCCAGGAGTGGCCGGCCAACCAAAATTATTCCAAGAGTGCAACGAGAACTCATCCAAGAGGTCATAAAAGAACCCAGAACAACATCTAAAGAACTGCATTGCCTCAATAAAGTTCAGTGTTCATGATTCAACAATAAGAAAGAAACGGCATCCATGGGAGAGTTCCAAGGCAAAATCCACTGCTGACCAAAAAAAACACAAAAGCTCGTCTCACATTTGCCAAAAAAATCTTGATTATCCCCAAGACTTTTGGCCAAATATTCTGTGGACTGATGAGACAAAAGTTGAACTTTTTGGAAGGTGTGTGTCCCGTTACATCTGGTGTAAAACCAACACAGCATTTCATAAAAAGAACATCATAGCAACAGTCAAACATGGTGGTGGTAGTGTGATGATCTGGGGCTGCTTTGCAGCTTCAGGATCTGGACGACTTGCCATAATTTATGTAACCATGAATTCTGCACTCTATCAGAAAATCCTGAAGGAGAATGTGTGGCCGTCTTGGGTTATGCAGCAGGACAATGATCCGAAACACACCAGCAAGTCCACCTCTGAATGGCTCAAAAACAAAATTAAGGTTTTGGAGTGGCCAAGTCAAAGTCCGGACTTAAATCCGATTGAGATGCTGTGGCTTGACCTTAAACAGTCCATTCATGCTCGAAAACCCTCAAATTCCTCCACAGCGATGTGAAGGACTCCTTGCCAGTTATCGCAAACACTTGATTGCAGTTGTTGCTGCAAAGGGTGTCACAACCAGTTATTAGATTTAGGGAGCAATTACTTTTTCATGTAGTGCCAGGCAGGTTTGGACAGCTTTTTCCTTAATGAAATCATAATTTCAAAGCTGCATTTTGTATTTGCTCTGTTTATCTTTGTGTAATATTAAAATTAGTTTGATGATCTGAATATTTTAAGTGTGAGAAATATGCAAAAAAATAAAAAAACGGGAAGGGGGCAAAAAACTTTCACACCACAGTATATATTACAGAACTGCAAGAAAACAATACAAACAGAATATCACATTAAAGAGCTTTTCGATTAGCCTAAGCTTAAAATATTATGACTAAAAACGGTTTTGGATAATTAAAGCTGCTGTCCGTAACTTTTTTTTTTTTTTTTTTTTTTGGTTAAAAATGATCCAAAATCAATATTTGAGCAAGTACATAACCAGCCAGTGTTCAAAACTATTGCCTTACTTACTTACATTCACAACGATTAGCTTATAATAATGTTTACTAATTTGAGTGGTACGGGTAGGTTTACGCGGGAAATTCGAGCATGCTACCGCGTCATTACGTCACGTCTGTAAACATAAAGAAGTTGTCCCAGCTTCTAGGCTATCGCATGTGAGGATCCTGCAGGTGGCCGATCGTTTATTGCTTTTTCTCACAGCAGCCAGAATAATTAAATGTATAATTTTGATGGCGGATTGTGATCCATAAAGGATTATGTGTTTAAGAAACATGTGAATGAAATGAAATTATATTCCAGTTATAAATGTGCTTCTGATTACAGATAGCCTGGGATTACACAAGATTTGTATTTGAAAGAAAACCAGTTCGAAGGGAGCATAATTTGCTTTTTGGGTTAAAAGAATTTCTTAATATGAAATTGGAATGGTATGACAATTAGAGATTAGACTGTACAGAAATTGAAATATACACGCTGATACACACTATAGGCAATGCTGATGTTGTTAACATTACTAATTTGAGAATAAAGTATAACAATAATAGTAATTTCCACAGTTTGATGTGATATGAGCTAACCGATCTTTATATTTAATCACCATTGGTAGCGAGATTTATGGTAATGCTTTTTTCCTCAGTTGGTCAGAACAAACGGGGCAAACTTGTTACTTGTTCAGATGTCAATATACGGTGAAAATTCTTATTTGAGTCGTATTCCAAGACGTAGGCTAGAATCTGTGATTGCGAAGTACAGTATATATCCACACCGGTGCGGTGACTGACTGCCACACATACTCTTCAGAACATTAGATTAATCCACGCTGGAGCCGTGCCGACTCACAACCCACGCAAGTTAGATAATTCCGCACCCAGCTGCAATTCCAGGTTTTCAAACAGAGATGGCGACAAAGAGGCAAAACTTACAGACTGCAACTTTAAATTAAAGGTTTGGTGAGAAACTTATTGTATTAAACCAGGGGTGTCAAACTCAGTTCCTGGAGGGCCCTGCAGAGTTTAGCTTCAACCCTGCTTCAACTCGCATACCATGTAGTTTTCAAATAAGCTTTAATGACTTGTTGGCTGGATCATGTGTGTTTAATTAGGGTTGCATCTAAACTGTGCAAGACTGTGGCCCTCCTTCTAGGCTATCGCATGTGAGGATCCTGCAGGTGGCCGATCGTTTATTGCTTTTTCTCACAGCAGCCAGAATAATTAAATGTATAATTTTGATGGCGGATTGTGATCCATAAAGGATTATGTGTTTAAGAAACATGTGAATGAAATGAAATTATATTCCAGTTATAAATGTGCTTCTGATTACAGATAGCCTGGGATTACACAAGATTTGTATTTGAAAGAAAACCAGTTCGAAGGGAGCATAATTTGCTTTTTGGGTTAAAAGAATTTCTTAATATGAAATTGGAATGGTATGACAATTAGAGATTAGACTGTACAGAAATTGAAATATACACGCTGATACACACTATAGGCAATGCTGATGTTGTTAACATTACTAATTTGAGAATAAAGTATAACAATAATAGTAATTTCCACAGTTTGATGTGATATGAGCTAACCGATCTTTATATTTAATCACCATTGGTAGCGAGATTTATGGTAATGCTTTTTTCCTCAGTTGGTCAGAACAAACGGGGCAAACTTGTTACTTGTTCAGATGTCAATATACGGTGAAAATTCTTATTTGAGTCGTATTCCAAGACGTAGGCTAGAATCTGTGATTGCGAAGTACAGTATATATCCACACCGGTGCGGTGACTGACTGCCACACATACTCTTCAGAACATTAGATTAATCCACGCTGGAGCCGTGCCGACTCACAACCCACGCAAGTTAGATAATTCCGCACCCAGCTGCAATTCCAGGTTTTCAAACAGAGATGGCGACAAAGAGGCAAAACTTACAGACTGCAACTTTAAATTAAAGGTTTGGTGAGAAACTTATTGTATTAAACCAGGGGTGTCAAACTCAGTTCCTGGAGGGCCCTGCAGAGTTTAGCTTCAACCCTGCTTCAACTCGCATACCATGTAGTTTTCAAATAAGCTTTAATGACTTGTTGGCTGGATCATGTGTGTTTAATTAGGGTTGCATCTAAACTGTGCAAGACTGTGGCCCTCCATGAACTGAGTTTGACACCGCTGTATTAACCAATAATGCTCACATTTTTCATGCACTTACTTTATGATGCAATCCTCAATTATATCAAATTACAGTTGTTCAAATAAACAATTTCCAGCCCATAGATGATTATATCAAAATGACTATGTTGATCATCTTAAATGATTCATATCTTTCATGATTGCATGCAATGCTTGAATAGCATAATACTAGGGCAGGGGTGACGAACGTCGGTCCTGGAGAGCCGCAGCCCTGCAGAGTTTTGCTTCAACCCTAATCAAACACACCTGAACAAGCTAATCAAGGTCTTAACAGTTACTAGGAAGCTACAAGCAGGTGAGTTTTCATTAGGGTTGGAGCTGAACTCTGCAGGGCTGCGGCTCTCCAGGACCGGAGTTCGCCACCCCTGCTATATACCATTGGTCTCAAACTCAATTCCTGGAGGGCCACAGCTCAGTTTAGCTCCGACCCTAATATAACGCATCAATCAAATAATGTTACACATTAAAATGAAGGATGTCATACATAGTTTTAAATATTCACGTTTATTGAGAAGTACAACTAAATTAATTTTCTTCACAAAACTGGTGTCTAGTTTAGGAGGACGATAAATAAGTATTACAAGTATAGGATTGTTGCCATTAATTTTCACCACCAATCATTCAAATGAAGACATAACATGGTGTGGTCATTACAGAAACAGGCATTTCAGATTTGTATAAAATTGCAAGACCACCACCTTTACTGGTGAGTCAAGGTCTATCAATATAAGTATTAGGGATGGGTCACGATTTTCAAATATTCAATTAGTTGATTTAATTATAGAATATCGAATCGGTTGTGTGATTGTCTTTCCCCATGTTTTCCGTGCTGATGCGGTGGTGTCGCGTTCATGTGGCGTGGCCAATAACACCCCTAAAAGCTGTCAAAGACAACAGAAGAATGCTTTGTCACACGCACTCACTGTAGACTTGCATAGCATATAATGGTTACAGTAACTTGGGACGATGTCAAATAAGTGGTCTGTGTGGACCACAAACACCCCCGACTGGGTTAGAGGTGTACTGAATCCGTATGCAGAAAGGTGTGTAAAACAAATAACACGTTCTACGGAGCCACTAAAGGGACATGGTTAGCCGCTTGCTAGCGGTGGCCTGTTACATTACAGTACATGACATTTAACTTCCCACATAAACGGAGTAAGGAAGGATGACTGATAGGATGATGGCGAATGATTTGCAGATCCTGAGCACCACTGACAAACATCTAATCTTGTAAAATGTGTGGTAATACTGCCGAGTGCTGCTCCGTATGTGATCGCGAATCTCGAAAGTGAAAGTAAAAACAAGCGCGCGTTCAAAAGCGATTTCAATGCCTTGCATATTATTAACGACTCCTTGATGCCCGCAGTTTATATACAGTATAATTACCCAACGATATAATTGCTACAGAAGATATTGAAGTATATTTTTCCTCCCATCTCGTATTCCCTTTAGGGATTAAATTTTTTGAAATGGAAATGTCCTAGCCTTATGAGCAGTTGATTTATGCTAATCGATGGACTGTTATGTTAATAAATGCCATCATTCAATTATGTTTATTATATTAATGTGTTTCAGCACGTTACAATCATTATATGGCTTGAGTTAAGGTAGCCTATCTTCTGAATTAAACAGTTTATCATACAGATTCAAAGCGTGAATCCCATCTCTCTCTGTTTATGGGTGTTTGTGCGTGCTTGCGGGGGAGGCGTGCGATTTTTCGAATAATAATCGAGTAATACCCAGCGATTTTCAAATATTATTTTTGCTTGGAATGCCCATCCCTAATATGTATGTCCAGGTGGCGAGGCCAAGTTTAGATTGTAACAGTCATTTGAGTGATGCAAGAAATTGAAGTTTCCTTTCCAGGATAATATCATGAAGCAATGCTGCTTTTATAGTCATAGACCGCACATTTAATTGTGCAAGTCTGATTTTAGATGTTACATTCTTATTACGCTTATTCCCTGAAGACGTTTGTGGATAAAATAGATTAGACATGCAGATACCATAGGAATTGAAATGTCCTGAGCCGGCAAGTATATAAACCCCGACGAGAGCCCCAATGTGAATATCTTGGCTGTCACAACAGTGAAGTGTTCGCAGAGCATTTTGTGTACGATTACAGGGAGGCAAATGAAGATCCTATGAAAGAAGTTCAGAGAATGAGTACCTTATCATATTGACGTTCGACAGTTTGGATTCCTGTATTCCAATGAGACCAATTCGAGTTAAAAATTTACAAATTAAATAACTTTATATATTGATAGCGGAATAAACACAACATTATTTAAGTGTGTGAAGTAACAAAAGCATCAATTTAATAACTGATTTATTTTTGATTTTTGACAGATCTGCTCCTCCAACCACACAGCAATTCACCGACATTCAGCCTCTCCCACAACAGTTTATGAAAGAAAGTCAAAAACATGACTGATCCAGAACCCAGCAGAATAAAACCGGAAGATACTGAACAACAAATAGGTTGGTGTATATTCATGATTCTTCAATAAGGTTATACAACTTCAAGCAGTTTGTCAGATTCAGTGTTACAAGTTAGAAAAATCATAAAAGCTGTGAAATAACAATTAAATCTGCAGTACAGAAAAGACACGTTTCAGTGGTTCATTGTTTTAATGATTATGTTGAGTTTAACTCCGCTATTCTGCGTGGATGAATACGATGGATTGTGGTGTACTGGCACCTGTGATAAAGGCATTAATAGTGCATGTCACTAATGCCATCAAAACTTGCCTCTCCAAAAAGAAGACATTAGGGCTGCCCTTGACTAAAGATTTTTCTGATCAACTAATAGTCGTTCATTTGAAGCGATTAGTTGACTTTTACCGCATGTTTATATTAATAAACCTTTAATTCATAATAATGAGCCTTTTAATTGCCTGTAGCTTACAGTGCACTGCAGAAGTAATGATTATGAATGCTTTAGGGAAAACTACAAGAAGACTGCTTTAACATAGTATTTCATTGATAAACTAGTGTTTTCTGTATTTTCGGCTGCAGTGATCTCCATAGTGGACGCGCACATTTCATACAGATTACATAATCTGAACATTTTTGTTTTCCATTTTAATTGGTTCATTTAAAAGCAGACATTTCGATTTCTGTAGATATATTTATGTTTTTGAGGCAAGCAGAGTTTTGGTTCATTCATCGTTTTTTTTCTCTTAACTCTCACAAGTTCACAGAGACCTAGATGGCAGAAAGCGCACTCTGTTTGTTTTCATTATTTTACAAAAGCACAATGTTTTGATGTTATTCTGAGTGCACGCAAAGAAAAGTAGACCTTTCACAGATTCAAAAGATATATTACTCTGACCAAAACTGGCAGAATCTTTTAAGTTAAATGCAAATGATCGCACCGTGCCTCCAAGTTAACAAGCAGTGAGCGCACTACTGTTCAGCTTTCACACTCCGCACACAAACACTTCAATAGCACACATTTTTCTAGGTTCAAGCTAGTGGTCATGTAATGAGGTTACTACTAACATGTTTCAGATGATAAGCCACATTTGATGTCAGTGAACGAAACGAACATTTGCATGTCCTGAATGATGTACTTTAATTACCATACAGACCAGCTGTTAATAATCTGTCCTTCACGGACTACGTGACTTCGCCACTTTCTGTAGTTTTTTTTTTTTTTAGCCAATGCAGAGATTGTAATATTGGGGTAATATTATCATATTTTCTTGACCTGGTAAGGACTCTAGCAGCTGCATTTTGGACTACCTGTAGCTTGTTTATTGAAGATACAGGACAACCTCCTAGCAGTGCATTACAGTAATCCAGTCTAGAGGTCATGAATGCATGAACTAGCTTTTCTGCATCAGAAAAAGGTAACATGTTCCGTAGCTTGGCATTGTTTCTAAGATGAAAGAATGCTGTTTTTGTAACATGGGAAATATGATTTTCAAAAGGCAAGTTGCTGTCCAGTATAATACCTAAATTTTTGACTGTAGAGGAAGTAACAGTACATCCGTCTAGATGCAAATTGTAATCATGTACTGTTTTTTTTGGTTCAATAAGTAATATCTCTGTCTTATCCGAATTTAATAGGGAAAAATTACATTTATATAGGCTTTTTTTTGGCTGAGCTGAAATGCCATTTGTCTGTGCAGGTGCACAGATATGAACAAATCAGGCTTAAGTATTCAGACAATTACTTTTTACATTTTTAACACACTCTGTTAGCTTAGATAATTTAGAAGTTTTATCTGATCTTGTTGAAATGAGTATCATCAGCATAACCATGGAAACTAATCTTGTATTTTCTAATAATATTACCAAGGGGCAACATGTATACTGAAAATAGCAGAGGGCCTAGGACAGATCCTTGATAAACTGGTGATAATTGAGATGATTCCCCATTTAAAGGGGTCATATGATGCGATTAAAATTTTTCCTTTCTCTTTGGAGTGTTACAAGCTCTTGGTGCATAAAGAAGATCTGTAAAGTTGCAAAGACTAAAGTCTCAAATCCAGAGATATTCTTTATTCTTTATAAAAGTTCATAGTCAGGCACACCTACCTAAAACGGCTCGTTCTAACACGCCCCCACATATCTACCTCACTATGTGGGAAGATTTGCATAATTCCGCCCAAATGTTCATGCAAAGAAAGAAGGCGTAACTTTTATTCTCACTGTAGTTTTGTTGACGCTGCAGCCATGTCGTGAAGACGCTGTGTGCTTCGTTGTGAAAGCGAAACTACTTTGTTTGGTCTTCCAAAAGAGGACACGACTACAAATCAGTGGTATTTACAACACCGTTCCAGAACAGTTTAACCCAAATATCCAGATGTGTGCAGCGCATTTTATGGAGGACTGTTTACTGATCCTGGGAGAGTAACGTTAGACTAAAATGCCGGCAGTTCTGACTAGTTTTGGGCGTAGCACTTGTTGTTTGTCATTTCTCTGATCACAAATGCAGACAGAGTTTTATGTTTACGCGTCACGATGTCACGATGCGCGTAAAAAGACAGTATGAGTCATTATAATCCGTAATTATGTCCCCACTGGATGCAACAAATGCCTCGTTTGTAATGGGTTTGAATGTTTTTGTCTCGTCGCTCCGGCCGGACACGGCATCAACAGTATGTGAGGGGCATAACATTTCCGTCTCACGCTTGAGGTATTCGGCCAATCACAACGCATTGGATAGCTGGCCAATTACAGCACACCTCGCTTTTTCAGACCGATGAGCTTTG